AGACACATACTGTTTACCGCATCGACCTGCGTTAATCTTAATTGAGACACGGAACAGTGGTTAGGGGATTGGCAGGTGGGTTGGTTGCATTGCATTGTATGACTGGCTGGGAGGGAATGTGGGGGAAGGCCGGTGAGCGAAAAGCTGTAAGGGCAACTAATACTTCCCGGTCGCCCAGGCCGAAGAAGGGGGTTTAGTTGAGATACCCCATCTTGAGCTTTGGACTCAAAAGTCTGACCCACAAGACACTAGGAGGACGCAGGGTTTGGGTCGGCAACCCTGCCTCTAGTCTACGGCTCAAGAGTCTGGACTTTAAGACAGCGGTTTCTAGGGTTTTCTTGAAGGGCCCTCGGAGCCAATGACTCAATAGTCTGATCTACTTGGCTGTAGGGGGTCGGCCTGGCCCGAGGGCGCAGAGAGTAGGGCATCACTATCACTCCCAATTCGGCTGCGCACAGCAGTTGCCTTCAGATCAGCATCGGGCTCTTTGGTTTTAAAAGTATTTCGACCGTATTGAATAATGCGCCAGCGGTCACGGTCAATCGTTGGGCGATCGCAGTGTGCGGTTTTTATGGCTGACCTTTTTTAACCCGTCCTTCCACGGGGGAAGGCAGCATCGCTGTTTCCATAAATGTGAACATGCTGGTCGCCTGAGGGGGGGCACCTTACTACCTTCACACTCCTATCGCCGAGGACAGTGCGACTTTACCTCCAGGCCGCTTCGCAATATGATTACTCCAGTACGGGCCCCCTGTTCTTCTTCGGGCTGGTCCCCGTTGGCCTTCCTGGCGTGGTTGAACCTTTAGGAACGGAGTTCCAGCCAGTATAGTTCGCAGGACATTGCAGCATTCGGGCTGGTCCCCGTTGGCCTTCCTGGCGTGGTTGAACCTTTAGGAACGGAGTTCCAGCCAGTATAGTTCGCAGGACCATTGCAGCACAAAGGCCCGATCACCACTACAAGGTGACAGCTTTGGGTCGGGGCGATGGCATTTCATTCATCAGGACTCAATTACTTTATCGCCTTTAGATAGTTTTTTAGGACTGCCGTTGATTTCATGTATCTGCAAAATCATGAGAATTCAGTCCTATGTAAAAACACTTACTCCATTATCTAAATGATCAACAGAGAAGCAGTCGTGCATTGTAGGAGAACACAAAGGGCCGATGACCTGTCAGCTAGGTTTTATCCATCCTGTGGTCCGAAGTGGACGATTAGTAAATGTGGGGCGTGTGGGACCATAAAAACTAAGTGCAGATAACTTGTTTGCTACTAACTGTCAATCACATACTGAGTTACTGGTGTCAGATTTTGAGGGTACGCTATGAATTCACCATCAGAGGTTTTTGGACTTTCTCTGTTTATATGGGGTAATTTAGTATGAGATGGTAATTCCGTACCCAAAAGTGAAGATTCTTTCCTTACTCAAACCTATATAGGTTCTTCTTAAAGTCGTTATATTCAGAGAGGGCACCATCATAGGTAACACTGGTGCTTCACGGCGGTACGGCTATGGTTTGATTGAAGTACATTTTAGTCAGAAAGACAGAAAGATGGACACAGAATATTTCTGAGTTGCCTACACCCCCAAATATTCAATGGAACAATCTAAAAGAAAGCTGACAGCACGACTGTCACTCACATCGATTGGTTGTCATCTCTCGCACGTCTGTAGCCAAGCACATCCTAGTAGGTTGGCTGCACCAATATCACCCAACTTCTTTGTAATACCTTTCACATCCTTCTAACTGGTTACACATCCCCTTTTCAGTTTGCACTATTCCCATGGAGTTGCGGAGAACAGTAGTCCTCTGGACACACAGTAGTTTGACATGTGTGGCACATGCCGATCCACCGCGGCTGATGGTGCTGGATGCCTCTTGTGACAGATTACAAATTCGCCTCCGCCTTTCAGTCATCTGTGGTGAAAACTGAAATGTCGTCCGCAGATTCCGTCTCGCAACCACACAACACGCCCGATACTGTATTCTGCTGCGTGCGGCTCTTGAGACTCAGTGGTATGTCTTTGTAGCGCCACATGATGCGAATTGGCAAGCGTGATTCGTCTATTGACCCTAATGGATACTTTTCTGTCAGAAGTAGTAAACTACGGAGGGACGTAGAACTCCGCCACCTCCAGTGCTCCTTGAAATGTGAAGAGCATGTTTAGGATGTGCACGTTCTGGAGAATGACCTTACACTTTGTAGGTGAAAGGCACATGCCGGAAGATGATAGTGTTTGTGCTTCGTGTTCACCTACAAAGATAAAGGTGGCGTCGCATGCAAACCCCTCATCAACAAGGTTATCACTCTGCAAACTTATTTGGTTCTTTCGAGCGACTCACCTGGAACCCAGCTGAATCTCTCGTTTATGATGTTCTCAGGCAACTGAATGTACTGCACCAGGCCGCCTCATTTTTCAGTCGCTACGATATTTGAAATATCGCGATGCATGTATATTTGTAATGCACTACTCACAAGGTTGTTGGGTGATGGATTTTCAGCGACCTTATGAGCAGTACATTACAGAGGTTATCACTCCTTTCCCACTCCTCCCACCTGAGTCTACTGACATTGATGCATTTACGCGCCAATTTATCAGCTCCCGCCTCCGATGCGCATATATATACCGGACCTCGTCGAATCATCGGTGAACGAAACTGTGGCAGCTACAACCACTGTACGACAAGTACGCGGTTCTTACAACGGACAATGATGATGATGACAAAGTTTTCACCAGGATCAGTTTGAGCACTAGGGTTTCGATGGCTTTCCGTCGTATTCGTGCTGTGTAGCCTGCAAAGAAAGTGCTTGCAGAATGGGTACGTTGACAGTCATCCTTGTGTTCAAAATGGACACACGGATACCATGTGAAAACCACCGTGACATTAGCTTTGTAGCCTTGCTATCGAAGGTACTCTCTGGCCTCAACCCCCCCCCCCGAAGTTTGACCGAACACAGAGACACAGATGCGTGAAAAACTAGATTGGGTTCAGTCCTGAAAGAGGATGCACCGACCACATCCACTCTCCCGTAGAGTCTGGAACAGTGATACTCCCTCCAGCAACAAACACTTGTGGTCCTCCTTGACTCTCTCTCTCTTTACCGTTTTGATTTTCAACCACTCTTGCAGTATCTATGGTGCAAAGATGTCCACCAGAACTTATTGGATCTTGGTGGTCGTTGGCTTGTTCGCTGAGCTGGGCAATTTGATTGCAAACGTTTCATCATCAATCGAGGTGACATCATCAGTGCGTTATTGTGGAGCGTAGTAGTGCGTAGCGGTGGATTGGTGGTTGTGCGTTGGGTAGTGCTGTGCGTGTGTTATTATACGTGCTGCTAGCAGGGGATGACCTTTGGTCGCGATTAGTTGTTCGGTCGGACGATTCCATTGGTTGGTCCGTTGTCCTGTGTCCCCATTCGCCGATGCCCACGTGACCTTTGAGCTTGGCATCCCCTGCCGTCGTAATCTGGTCGATGCCAGAAGGACCTTTGTCCTTTCGAGTCCTGGGTTGTGACCTTAATTGATTTGCCTCCAAGGAATTCCTTGTTTCGTTGTTTGTGAGTCCAATATTCTATCCTCCTTGGGTTTTCCGGTTGAGATGTTGGTCTTTTGCACGTAGGGGTGCGTAAATTGGGTCCAGTTGGATGCATCGGTTGATCTAATTTGCCGTGGAGTACCATGCTTCCAGAAATTCTCTTCCGTGCCTCCTGCCTCCGTATGCCGAAATTTCTGTTTTCCAAGTTGAATTTGTGACCTTCTTGGTCTTCGTGTATGGATATCTAGGACAGGGGGTCGTGCCTTCTGACGGCCTCGTTGTGTTCCTTTATTCGTGTGCATAGTCTCCTCCCAGTTTGTCCGACGTAGAATTTGTTGCAGTTGTTGCAATTGAGTTGGTATATCACATTGTTCTTGGTTTTGTCGGGGTTGTCCTTCGGTCTAGAGATTATTGTATCTTCGTAACGCACCACACACCAACTCCCGCTAACGGGTAAAAGTTTACGGGAAGCTCTTATATGAGTTCACCACATCAAGTTGTGCCTGGCAGAGCTGTTTCCCTTCACCATTGATATGATTGTGGAAGACTCACTCCAAGCCTCCAATGCCTGTAGGATCGTAATGATCCCAGGCAATGCAACATATCCCAACCAACTCCGTTTATTGAAACACGTGCTATCAATACCAAATCACTGACTCTCTTGCCGGAAACAAGGAAAAGCCGCATAAAACAGACGAGATCAACAAATGACGCGGCGCAAACTCTTGGAGACAGTAACTACCATCTTAACTTCCGCCTATTCATCCTGAATATTTAGTTGAAACTTCCAGAGGCAGCGTTTTCCCCGGTCGATAGCCCTGTTTGCCAAGATACAGGGTCGGAGTCATCTCGTTTAGATCTGATTTCTCCACATAAGTCATTATTGATTACCTATAACATTTCTCACAATTTACCTTGTTGTTGAACACGCGTCCGGGATTCTTCCTTCTCATCTCTGGATGCGTATGACTCTCACAGACCGTCGTTGCCAGTCGAGCAATTTTCGCCGGAATTCGTCCAACCTCCCTTATGGTATATGAAGTGGAGGTTCCCAGTTGCTCCTGTGAATAATTATTTTCCTTTACTTCCGCTATCTGCTCTCCGAGGATGATATCGCTTCCCGGATGAAAACCCATCAATTGAGATTCCCACTCTCCAAATTATTCATTGCTCCATTCGTGAGTATCTCCTCGTGTGTTCACTTCCATTCAACTTTCTCGTCCAAAAACGAATACAGACCGTGCATCGACGTGCAATCGATACAATGCAACAGGACAACGCTTAAAAGCCCCGCGTGTAACCCCTCTCTTCTGGATAGTCAACTTATGTAATCTATTCTCTCAGTAGTGTTCGAGTGTGTTGCTCATGAATCCTGTGTAGTGAATATTCCGGTCCATTCGAGGACTATTGATGAGTGCGTCCACTTGTAGCGTGAGTGGTTTGTTCGCTGTGTATTTACCACAATGACTTCTCGATATCGTACTGTATTAAGGCCAGTATTTCACTGGGCTCATTCATTTTATTTCGAACCTACCGTCTTTATGTTTGACATGTTTCAGGCGCCAGGAGACGAGGAAATTTCCCGGGTTGACTCTGTTTGCTTTCATGTCGGCGTGGATTCCTTATTGCACTTGAAAACAGTTCACTTTTCTGGAAGGTTCGTAGTTGTCTCGACTTCACCTTATCCGTCTCCTTGAAGTCTACTACAACCGATTGTTTTATCTGGACACAAACACAATCCAAGATTTCTCGGTAAGCATTGAGAGTGGTTGATCTAGGTTTTTAAACTGTTCAGCTACAGACCTCATCCGGCCATCTCTGAAGAATCAGCCTCTTCAGAGGATTGTCATCCAGCAGAACTATCGAAATTACCGGTGCAGCATGTCGGTGTATCCAGCTTACCCGTTAACACCGACGCGGACGATATCATTCCAGAAAAGGAAAGGTGTTATCATCGATGGTCTTCAATGCCACAAGCTGGCGAACTCGTCTGGATTCGATATGCTGGCAATGTTAGCTACGGACGCCTTGTGCATTGCATGCCCGAACTCAATATGTTCACTGTTCGTCCGGAAGATGGTGGTCTAACTCGGCTGGTTACTCGAGGCCTGGAGGATATACTTCCCGTGCGCAGTGAGCAGTCCATTATGTCCCCTCCAGCAGACGATGAATGGGAAACCACGACGGTTTGTGAACACTCACTTACTCGAACAAGCGAGTATTGTGAATCCATATCTGCTTATCCGCGTTCTGCCGAGTCGCTGGCCCCATTTCATTCTCCACTATTTATTGATGCTTGCGAAGGATTTTCGCCTCGGTAAGCTTGTGGACTGTATTGTGGTCCATTCTTTTTTCAACGACGGAACAGGTTTATTTGTACCATTAGTGACACGAACATAGAAAACACGTTTGCCAGTGTGGTTATGGTATTTACCAATCGCAAATGGTAGTTACTTTACAGTGTCGTTCACCGCCCCTGTTGCCTTTTTGTTTCTTCTCATAGTAGGGATGTTGCAAACAGGATTACTTTGGTTGTACATTAGTGGAACTCCGGCATTCATCCCTCTGACTTAATGTGCATGATGGTGCTTCAGCGTCAATCAAGAATACATGCCCCCTGCGTTAGGATGACTCGGTGCCTCAGGGGTTTTGGAGCGTGGTCAGTAATCAATTTAGTTGTCAGCACGGGTCATACGTAACCTGTCGAAATTGGTTGTGCTAGTTTACTGTATGTTTGGTGTCATCACATGCTGCTCTCGATCCAATCGATTACCGGAACCTGTGGTAATGTCTGGCATCACACTTAAGGTTTTGTGAAGGCACTGTACGCCCTCTGTTGTGGACCTTTACGGGCCGCAGTTCACCATGAGTTCGCCACGCCCACTGGTTCCAGACGGAACCGCCTTTTCTCCTAATTATTTTCGTTACTTACATGGCGTTTGTCTCTGACACCTCGATGGTCGAAGTATTTCCGGAGTGTTCACTCACATTGAGTTCGCCGACGATGTTACTCTTGAGTTAGATCTTACGAAAATTCACACCATTGTTATAGCCTTGATAATTCTACCACAGTTTATTATGCACTCCCCATGTCCAAAGTGTAACGCACCACTGCGTGATATCGAGCCCAAGCCTGATGCTTGCAGACCTTGGTTGTTGGTCTGTTCGCCGAGCTTGGCAATTGTATTGCAAACGTTTCACCACCCGTCGAGGTGACGTCGTCAGTGCAGGGTTGACGACGATGTCACTGATGTGAGTGACGATGTCACCTCGATTGGTGATGAAACGTTTGCAATCCAACTGGCAAGCGCGGCGAACAGACCAACAACCAAGCAGCGCACCCGAGCTACCTGCATTCCACAACATTGCTTGCAGACCTGTTGATCGAAGTTGTAATCAAAATCATCTACCCGGGCTGTAGGCGACTGGTGGAATAAAAAACTTGTTCTAGTGGACAGGGCTATCGTAATTTTTCCCATGATCGAAGGGGACGAAAGATATTATGGAAAGTTTGTAGTACTGTTTGGCCTCCAGGTTGGGGTCCACGTGACCCTCCCTGTGCTTGGCTTGAAGCGCTTAAATGTACGGCTGCCAACCGATGCCAGTGGCTTTCATACTGTTAGTCTCCCCCAGGGTGGCCCGATTGAGGGTTTGAGATGTGAACACATTGGATGTTCGTACGGCTTTATTCAAGAAAATTGCCACTGATGATTTGGGGAGGTGGGATAGCTAGCCTACTGATTATTCACATATGGAAGGTTATGAAAACAAGCCCTAACCGGGAGACTTTCAGTCGATGAGTTGGTCATCTGTGTTATACCGAATCATTTGTGAGCCTGTGGGTTACCGCTTGAAAATATTGAAACACTTACCTACACACGGGTAAGCGTCAGGATTTTCGGCTCAGAAAGCATATTAGCAACGTTAGGTATGTAACGGAGATCAATCCACTTTACGTGTGTTCCAGTCGCTTTTGATGGCAATTGATTTCGAGACCAACTAGACTGTCGCGTAGATTCTAATGGCTGTATATATTCGTTTAGAGCCCCCCGCTGTATTCTTTCAGGTTTTGTTGCCACCCCATAACGGTAATCTCAACTGATATGACGGTACCAAATTAGCTGCGAGCACATGTGTTGTCATGTGTTTTTGCTGTGCCGGTGTTAGCTATTCCCGGTTGATTTCACATACAACAGCCAATGTGATCCGATCGCCCGGCGCGCACACACAAAATTCCGAATGTCCAAAAGCCAGTTCACGGAATCGATCGATCAACATGGGGCATGATTTTATGCCTGCTGCTCTACCTGCATGTTTGCCTTCCTCCGTTAGTTGACCGTTTTCGCTTACGTAATCTGGTAGCGTGTACTCGTGAGTGTGTATGTGTACCCCTCATAAAAAACAGGGCATCAAAGTTACCGTGCACAGTGCTAGATAATGCACCCTCTCCTATGAGTTATCTCGAGTACCTATCAATTACCGTTGGTCGATTCTGGTCACTTTAGAAAATCTTAGTCCTGTACTGTGATCAGCAAACTTGTTAATAACGCGATTAACTTATTTTACTGCGGTTTTTCGGGGGGGGGGGCACCATCGTCCCCCCCAAGGGTCACCCTTAGATATTCGACAATAGGTGTTGGACCAATGTGCACGCTTGTTACCTTGCTGAACGGGATTTCTGCCATTAAATTTTTTCCCCTCAAAATACCCACGAAATTTCGACTCAGGTTCATCAGAATTTGATGTGTTCTCTTAGTTTTCGTAACTCATTGTAAAAGTATGCAATAATTTTCTGCATGTAGCTTTATCTACTACAGCGACCATCTCTAGAGAACACTAAAATCGGTCACTCAGGAAGGTGATCACCGTCTAGGGATCCGGTAATCCTAACAATGTTTCACCTTCGTATAAGAGACAACTTCTCAGCCTTGATCACATAGACCTTGGTATTTTGTGGCCCAGCCTTGATCGGCTTTTTAAGTACTGTCAAACGCCAGTGAGTGTGGCGGACATTCAACGACGGATTGATGTTACAATGAGAATGGGTGTGTGCCGTCACTTTATGTCAGTTGTTTTATTGTCAAACAATATCATTCAAGTTTTAGAGCAGTCTGCTGTGTTTTTACTCTCCAAGCGGATAATGGCATATTGATCCGTGTGTGGTGGAGGCATTCAAAGTGTCCGATCAATCTAGTTACCGTGATCGCGTCGAATTGGATGTGCTACTCTCTTAAGGTTCATTTTGTCAACTTCTCCTTAGCTCCTTCTATGCGGGCGTCAAGACCGTCGACCATGGTTTAGTCATTTTTCCAGCCCCTCTACATAACACTTCTGTCACTGTTGGTTAGGTACTGCTGGTTCGGTGACGAACAACTTGAAGCCTTCATGTATAACATGACTCGTATGGTCTTTATGTAACCATAATTACAGTCAGTCAACAGCCCGCGGTCATGAAAGTTTTCCGATAAATCAAACTGATAGGTTATCATGTGCATCTAACTAAACCCATAGACCCATACAGGTTCTGATATTTCAGTGAAGGAGTTCATGAAAGTGAATTGGGAACCATAAATGGTACACAGCCTTCTGATCAGCGTTTTCGGGTACGCATGAGCACTAGATATCCTATGTCATCTGTTTGTTCATTCTTGTGTCAAGTTGCGAGTCACGAAATCATCTGGCGGATGTAACAAATTTGGAAAATTTGTACCAGAATCAGGCGGGTACGTGAGATTTCTTATCATTGTGGAGTGGTTGTACATTGTGTAAAGGGTCGGTCTTCCAACGCAGTGGGAACTTTCAAGATTCGACCAAATACTTTATTATGAGAGTGGCTAATTTATCTTGCCATTTATGGACAGTAAGACGCACTACAAAGTGCCCCAAGTCATGACAAGAAAGTTAGTATTTGGTCTCGACTGGGTTTGTACACTCGATTGTGTCTGTTGTGGACTGCGTGGAATGGCCACTCTTCTGGAAACTTCACAGTGAACCGTAGCTGAGGCGGTTTTAGACTTGTCAAAGGAACGCTTTCCTCTCGGAATAATCGCCCACTAGATCTTGGTTGCCTGTAGCTGCCGCTTTGGGCTATTCAGGGAAGTGATTTTTCTTCATAGATAGAGGAAACTTCGCATTCTGACTTGTGACTACAGAATAAGTGCTGAGATTTTGTTCTTACTTTACTCACAGCTCGATAGGTCTTGTCTGTGACCTAGATCAAGCAGTCATAAGAGTAAGCTTTAGCTCAGGTCGACTATCGTTATGGCATTACCGTGCCGCTGATTTTGACAAATGATTCAACCTTTTTTTCACAGTCGAATGTCAACGGATGAAGGCACACCTATGGGTCCTTCTACTTCTTTCACCGGTATACATTCTACTTCGCCGGCCTCGTTCACTTTGTCTCCGACTTTGGGACACTCGGAATCCGGAGACTGTGGTTCACAGCCCCGGTTTGATGACCTCCCCTCCCAAACTCAACAAATGATCTCATCGAGCTTATTCACGACTTCAGAGTCGGGTGCACTTAGACAGCCCAGTGAATCCAGCCGTTCTTATTGGCGGATCCCATCCTCAACCGGCGTTATTGACGATTCCACTGTTGGTGCAGACAAAAGCCCTGCCGTCCGAAGGTTCAGTCAGACAGAGCAACCACTGATTGATGAAGATTCTGAACAATTAAGCAGTTCCGCAGATCAGTCCTATTCACTTCAGCTCCCTCACGACACGCCCACACTCACTACATCCTCCACGATTGTCGCCTCCGCGATCGAAGTCTTGCGTCAGTGCATTGACACTTTTGCTGCTTCAAATCGTGAGTTTACTTCTAGCTTCTGATCTACTCCTTCTGATGTTCACACTGGCCTTCTTGTTCATGCTGCTACCCTTGTTTTAAATTCTTCAGAGGCTTTGGGTGGCAATTGTTTTGTTGCTTGCCGTTTGAAAACAGTCACTTCAGTATCCTATATCCCGCTTTCTGTTTCATCTTCTTCTTAAAGTTAACAATCTATGCTCCTGGGATTTACTGTCTACAGAAACTCGAGCATCATGCGGGTGAAATGCTTTCCGGTTTTCCGTAACCAACAAGTAGCTTCTCTTGAAGAATTCCAATTCAGGGGCTCTTATCAAGTACCTAAGGTGTTAATTGGTGGAATGTGGCAGGCCCCGTCGTCTACTGTAGATTGATCTCTGATAAACCACCTATTGGGCCCAAAATGATTTACCATTAGTCCAAATGCCATCAGTCGTTGTACGGTTCTCTGCCTTAATGAATTCGTCTAACAGATGTGATGGGTGGATCACATTCCGGGAGGTTAGTCAGGGTCAGACTGTACTTTACCTCACAGCGGCCTCATAAATATAGAAAAATAATCGTCCAGCTGTAACATACTCAGTGCTAAGGTGCTATGCCACCTGAAGAAAGCATGAAGGCTGAGACACTGCCAGGATGGCCAAGCTCATTCAGGAACACTCGAGATGTGGCGTTGAGTTTGAACCATGAAACGTTTGGTCAGTAAATTCGCGTCTTAACCACTGAGTCATCTCGAGCTCAGCGACGACCTTCTGCTGGAGGATTTCGGCCTCAAAAATATCCTGAATCGTTCATGAATCACGACAAACAGCAAGGTCCTAGCAGAGCGTCATCCAGTTTCTGTTGGCCTTCTTGTACACTGCGTTATATTCGCTCATCTTGAATCCTGTTAGTTCATTAACTCAGTTCCTTGAGCGACTGGGGGGGCAACGGAGTTGAAGTCTAAGTGTATTTGTTAAAGACTGGTCAATTTTTGCCCTAAAACGCCAATGTTATTTTTCGCCAGGATTTCAGATTTCACAGACCTGCGTTTTTCTCCAACAGTGTATTTGTGAATATGATTAAAAAGTGCCCCTTCGATGCCGCATTAAGTTTCATCCACTTCTGGAGAACTAGCGAGATGTAATAGGTTGTTGGTCTGTTCGCCGAGCTTGGCAGTTGGATTGCAAACGTTTCATCACCAATCGAGGTGACATCGTCAGTGCAGGGTTGAGTGGACTAAATTCGAAAGATCACCAAGACCCTACATATTATACCCAACTTGAAGGTAGGTATGGGGAAATCGGTACCGGCAGTAACACTCTGGTCAGTTGTCCACAGCACAAAAATAACCCAAAATCTGTGGACGACTAAGTAGTTCGCCACTGATGTATGTCGAACTCCAATACAGAGAAGTCTCGGGAAAGGCACATTGTAAATCGTTCTTCTTGGATAGTGGTTTAACGGTCATTTGCAAACTAATTAGGTCCTCACAGAGTGACTGGGCTGGGTATCGTTTATGGTAGCCTTCAACCGAATATGCTGTTGCCTCGAACTACTTCCCTTGATATATCACTGTGTATAAGATTGCTGAAAGCTTTTAGACAGCCTACCGCCGGTTTCGCTCTTTTAGGAGTTCATCTGGTAGATTTAGTGTACACAGGGCATGCTGTGCTTTCCCTGCGCCGTATTTGCAATTATAGCAAGTAAAGTGCTTTCAGTTTTGAGGTAGACCGACACGGCATTTTGAATAGCCTGATGACTCTCCATCGTAAAAATCATACATTAACTTAAATTTTCGCGGTGAACGATGACATATCCAACTTTTTCATCTGTATTTCGGAGTTATTTATGGGAGTGGCTGGGGAAAAGATCTCAGAGTAATCCTAAACTGTTCAGACAGTTTGTCCACCGCGTCCATTAGAAACGCATGGCGACAGCTGCGTTTCGGTATATTCTGAACTCTGTCGATCCCAAACTGTGTGATAATGTGGGTCTCTGGACTAAAATTACACGAAAAGTATCGTTTTGGAGTGAAACTTTTAATGCCAGCGTCCGATTTTTGTCCTCTATGTTTTACAAGTTCCCTCCCGATCTGAGTAACAGAACGAGCTGGGAAGGTCACAGGATCACCATCCCAAGGTCGGCACCATGTCCTGTTTCGAAAACCCCATCTCTCTCTATCATTTAGATGTGGGCTAATTGCTGTAAAGCGTCTCACAAAGGCCTTGATGACTGTTAGATTTCGGTTGATTTAACGAACACTTTTTTATCGACCACTTGGCTGATAAGTGGGTGAATGTTGCCATTCCTCGTGGTCTCTGCAGAAGTTAACAAGTAAGCACAACAGCGTTCCGTACGAGAATTCGAACTGACCGCTCTGAGTATTTCCCACTTGTTTTCTTGTCGTTAAGTAAACTTTCTTGAGTTTTTGGCATTACTGGAAGCTAATTGGTCAGCGTCCAGATGTTATATCTCAAGGTCTGTTTACAAACTGGGAAGGGTGTGTCATTTCATTTTTGTTTCGGAGTGAGTGAGGTGAGGCCACTTGATCGCATCATAGAATTCTGCGCTAGAAAAGAACATGTTTGTAAACAGAAGCGCAAATGGATACAAGTGTGAATAATTTTCCCATCTGGGTTCAAGATTGGTCCCACGAAAAGTTTTTTTCTGCAGGCACTTCTGACCAACCAAGCTGCTCGATTTTTGTTTCGCAAGATAACGTGGAGTCATAAAACGTCCACTCACTTACATCATATCAACTTCCAAAACGGGTCCAAGATAAACATTACCGAGGGGTTAAAAAGGGGTAGTGCTAACGGTTTCTGACGCCCAGACATCTAAGGGTGACGCAGTTGCCTGCATTCCTCTGTGTAGAATAAGGGGATATGAATATTTGAGCGGCTGACAGACAGTTCCTCATCAAACGGACAATCATGCTTGTGCGTCATGATTAGCGAAGCAGCGTACGAAATTTCGCTTAAATTCGATATCCACAAAACTGTTCAAACTCGTGTACTTACTTTTGTTTTGAAGCAACGTCACCTGAGATGATAGGTTGTCTTCATGTACTGAGCAAATTTTGTGAATGGGGCACACCACATGGTGTATGTGGTTGCACCATGAGCGTCGCCTGGTCGTGAGCGCCTACAACGCGCACGGGCGTAGCTCTAAGACTGCACAGCTAAACCTCGGTCCTCGGGCTGAGGAGTGTGAACAATCTGGTTGATCCTGCCAGTAGTCATATGCTTGTCTCAGAGATTAAGCCATGCATGTCTAAGTACAAACCTTCAAACGGTGAAACCGCGAATGGCTCATTAAATCAGCTATGGTTCCTTGGGTCGTACATACTACATGGATAACTGTAGTAATTCTAGAGCTAATACATGCCACTATGCCCTGACCCGCAAGGGAACGGGTGGATTTTATTAGAACAGAACCAACCGGCGGTGACTTCGGTTGCCGTCGTTGCATTCTGTGATGACTCTGGATAACTTTACTGATCGCAGTCGGCCTTGTGTCGGCGACGGATCTTTCAAATGTCTGCCCTATCAATTTTCGATGGTAGGTGACCTGCCTACCATGGTGATAACGGGTAACGGGGAATCAGGGTTCGATTCCGGAGAGGGAGCCTGAGGAACGGCTACCACTTCCAAGGAAGACATCAGGCGCGCAAATTACCCTGCAATGGTGCGTGTGGTTCACATGTTACGGACGCATGTGGTTGGACCATGAGCGTCGCCCGGTCGTGAGTGCCTACAACGCGCACGGGCGTAGCTCTAAGACTGTACAACTAAGCCTCAGTCATCTGGCTGAGGAGTGTAAACAGGGGGGAGGCGAGATAGCCCAACGGGTTAGAGCGCGAATTTACTGACCGGAAGGTCCGCGGTTCGAACCCGACTTCTGCCTCTCAACGTCCCTTGTCTAGGGCAACCTGACAGTATCCCAGCCTTCGTGCAACCTTCGGGTGGCATGGCAGCTGGCGCCGAAAGGGTGCTACAGCTGAACGTTTTTTTTCGGTTTTTTATACAGTCGCTGAAATCCACCACGGTTAATGTATGACAGCTGATAACTAGGTAGGTTCTGTCAAACACCCTAGACGTCCAGGTATTCAACAGAAAAAGTCCGCTGAGACGGAACAACCAGTCGAACGCCCACAGAATGCCTGGACTCAATGTAACAACTCACTCCTCTGCTTTTCTCGCGTTACAGGTGATGGGACAAGACAGAAATTAGCCCACTTGCTGTTTGATCTCTTCAACATTGTGACGAACCTCCAGTGGCGTTGTTGCCGGCTTTTGGGATTTCTAAAAGTCCATCTCCCCTTGCCTACTCTTTTTTTCGTGGTGGTAATCTTAAGAACATAATTGAATAAATAGACGTACTATAGTGGGAGTGCCTCGTGTAACTGAACTATGAGGACGACACCTTATTGGTTGGTTCTATTTGCACGCACAATGAGATGTCGAGAGCTGCTCCTTTTTTGACATGCGCTTGTACAGTAGGTTTACCAGAAAGTCGTTTCACTCTTCCATCTTACGGAAGCAACCTGAGATAGGTGTCCACCTATTCTGAACTGTTCTTATCCTGCTATCCGACCTGATTTGGAAATATTTGACGTATAGATCCATTTAATCCCGGGAAACCTCGTTTAGGCTCGAACCCCTCACTACCGTTGTTCGAGTGGGGTGTCATGATACTCGAATGTTAAATGTTGTGAACAGTTATCCGAAAACTAACTGAACATTTTTGCGTTCATTCTCGGAGATTTTCATTCTCAGAGGTTCTCAAAAACGGTCGGTCATAGGTATTCAACTACTTACGAGGTCTAGTCAGGCCGTAAAATACTTCCCTGGTGTGGTCAGTCAGACCAATTCTCGCGTTTTTTCATACCATCTCCCCAGGTAAAAAGAGCTATCTTTTTCAGTCTACAAAAATACCCCCACAGTGTTGTCTTGTCAAGTGGTTCCACACTTGACGTTCTCCTGGCTTTGTTCTTGCGGCCAAGATCAGCGACAACGTCTAGTCCATTGTGTAAACCTCTGATGCCTACTATGAAAGCAGACTGATACATTCACGGTGGAGTTGTGTGGTGTTGTCACCTTCCGCCTCATAGGTTGAAACTGCAACCGGTACAACTCAGGGGAGAATAAGCTCAATACATCATACTGACTAAGCCACTGAACTGATTCCGATGAACTCCGAGGATCGAAGGCAACGCCGTGGTCGAACAAGCCGATGTCGTGTATGTGGTAGACGCGTTCAAAATAGCAGTGTAAAAATTCCCGTCCAGATCAGTACTATTTGGCCACTGAACTCAGCTCTCTGGCACGTCCGCGGACCGCAGTCAATCTGGCTATCCCGTCCCGTACTTTGCTCTGTACCCCTGCTCCATTATCACGTTATTGTCTTTCGACAGAGGTTTCGGTGTTGTTCTCCTACATCCTCAGAACGAACCTATTTTGTATATTTGCTCGTTTTTTGTCCGACAACTGCTATACCACAAAACCGACTGCAGGTATCCTGGCGAGTCTCCAACTTGGCATTGCCTGGCTTAACAATCTGATTTTCATTTCTGATGTTGAACTGGATCATACTACTCTTCACTCTACTTACTCCTCAACAGAACGCTTATCACCAACGAAAGCCACACAGGAAGCCGCTTTAAGTGCTTTGAACGAGGCTGTGAGGCTCCTACTCATAATCACTGATTACGGTAGTCAGGTTCGTTATCCGACGTACACACAGTCAATGAGCAGCTCCCCAGCATCCCCACCGCCACCATCGTTGGATACCATGAATGTATCATCGCTATCCACATCTTCGCCTTGTGACGCATACCACATATCTAACCCGAGCCCCATGTGTAAGCGCTGTGGCGTGAATCCCGCTTCCAGACCGTTTTTCTTCTCTGGTCCATTCGCCGATGCTCAGGGAGAACCGGGATGTGATATCCTTTCAGATCTACCACATGGGGAGCTGCGTTTCTATCCTGCCACTACTAGTTCCACTCAACTGACACCTGAACATGAACCATCTAACAATCAGCGACGATCATCTGCACCGCTGGCTTCCGCAACTGGATTCACTACGCACACTATGCCGACCGGCCGGGGACATAGCGAGGTTGGTGAACGGGTCTTCTCTTGTTTCTTGCTTTTCACTTTCATCTGGGGCTTCACATGTGCTAGCACTGTGTCATACTTTAGTGGTCTACCCGCCGTCCATACGATAATTTGGACGTTCGTTGACGAAATAGAATGCACTAATAGGACTCTGTTCATGAAAACATGCACCAGTGTTTGTCGTACTTTTATTTCATCGTCCATGCTAGCTGGGAACAAAGCTCCACCGAAGATCAGGAAAGTAGATGCGACTCTTCATAGCTGTAGTCAGTGTCCCATGGAATCAACTCGAGGGTGTGGTTTCAGCCCCGTGGTCTGTGGTGAGCATCTCAAGACTCCTTGCTATCAGATCCACTCTTTAGCCTCAGCATTTATCGGTTCGTTCGGCTACAGCGTTGGCACTTAGTGACCAAGTTTTGTTGATGAGCTGTGCACATCTTTTAACGGACTCTGATTGAGGATTTTGTAGATATACCCAGACATTTCCGCTATAGACGTAAATAATTTCACAACCGCCTGTGTTCACGTGTGTTTGACGGCTAATGGGTAAATATCTATGCAAAGCCCTAATGCTTCATTTCACTAAAAGTAGTTGAAGCGCTTGAAAGCGCAATTTCATAATTTTTGTAGCTTTTCCGATCGACCCAACTCGCATGCGCGCATCAATGTGCTTTCTGCCATTTATAAACGTTGAGTGCCGTTCAGTCACATATCTGAGTGGAATGTATGTCATGTGAAGCAGAGCGCATAGCCACAGGTTCAATTCTTGAAATGTTAATCGAACAGGAGGATGGAAGTATTGCCAAGGAATTCTAGTTGGGGAATTTCCGATCGGGATGATGAAGTCAACTCCACTTAACAGACGTACTGATGGCAAACTCGGTGTCTAAGATGTGGGGTCCCAGAGGGTATGGCAGTGCTGCTTGTCTACAAAGTAGGTGTGTAATCCAGTCGAAATATATTTTATGCTACGTTCACTTCTATAAACTGAGTCGGTGATGGATTGAGCGGACGAAATAGATTCAGAGGTTGGGCCAAAGTGGTGATCTATCCTACCGGATTGGAAGACCACTCCATCTAGATTAAATTGCCGTCAGAACTCCTTACTTAATCTAGATACACAGTAATGCCTAGCTTCTCTTCTAGAAGTCAATGTGTGGACGGAATAAAACCAGACAGAATTGACACATTGCTCATATCAATTGATTTATTTGAGTTCAGATGTTCATTGCACCTAAAGCACAATTCTGCAAAGAGATAAAACGAAAAGCTGTGACCGTCCAGGAGTTACTTCTTTCAGGAAAAGTGATCACACTGAACAGTCCGTGATGTGGATAAAGTGGCCTCTTCCCTTGTTACTTGAGTCGCTTTCTGTGCACTGTTATTCACTTCATTTCTGACCAGAAAACGTCATATTTCTAGAAACTTGTTTATTCCAGCGGGATGTCCGCTACTGAGAGGAATGAAACTCATCTGTCGGCCTCTCGTCAATTCAGAACGATCCAAAACTAATTTCACCCCAAAAAATTGTATTCAGCTATCATTAGACCTTTAACGCGCAACTTAGTCTTGAAAAAGCCTCAAGGCAAAATCCACCTCTATAGGTACACCTAATTCCTGGAGACGATAGCCGTTATTCCGTCCAGATTAGTCCACGGGCTCAACGAAGCCAGTGAATTGAAAATGATGCATTTTTCAAAAAAAAAAAAACAATTAAAAGTTGCGTTACTCCTCTGAAACAACTAATGAGCTGACCGATCGACTGTACACGTTGTTTAGGTACGCGAACAACTGATACACATATATGCCACCTCTTGGTCCATTTTTAAGGTACATAACCGTCCACAACAAGCATCCTCTTCGATTTCATCCCTGTTTTCTATTTTCCCAACTTCAACGGGTAGTTTTTCTCGAACTGGTATTAAGGTAACGTATTCATGTGTGCGTGGTACGGTGCTTCTTGTCCACAAGCCTGTTTCCGTCCTGATTCAGAATAATTTTTGTTACTCTTACCAACCATTACAAGTACTTTTTGGGTTTTTCCCACCCATGAGTCACCGCTTATTTCAGCTTCACCGAATCTCATCACAGCATGTGACACCTCCAAGTGCATGATCAGATGTAACGTTTTTTTTTCATGCTACAAGCTTCTCCACTTCAACCGATAGTTAATAAGTCGCAGCGTAATTTTGCGCAACCAAATATCTATTCTCCAACTACCTTGGGGGAGATACGATAACTTGCCAATAATACTTGTCCGCTGGGTCTTGCCAGCGCCGTCCTAGCATACTGCGATTCATGCATATACCGTTGGATCACATGACTTTGTTGTTCACGTCCGTAAGACTCAAGATAGCTCAGTAGTTAGGACGCGAACTTACCGCCCGGAAGATCCGTGGTCCGAACCCAACCTCAGCATCTTGACTACTCCTGTCTCGGTTGGTATCGCAGCTATTCGGCAAAACGGTGTTACGGCTGGATTGCCATAAGACTCGTCGAGTAGATGGACACCAAGTAGCCTCGTTCGTCATTATTCCGGTTCCCCTTGTGGCTGTGTGACACTCACGGGCGTCATACAATTTCGCAACTCAATTCGCTTCTTTGTATCGTCATTGTCATTCATTTGGCTCTGGGTAGTCCTATGTTGTCGGATCGCCGTTGGATTGGCCCGCTTATATGTCGTGGGCTTATACTGTGAAATGACAATCCTGCTTTTAGCATGACCAGAAACCTTTCACTTTTTGTTCGATTCTGATGTTGAACCGCGTACTGCCCGTGTTACTTTCTACCCTCTGGTGTTGCATTTTCTACCGACTGACGCTAGCTTTAGATTTCGGATCGTCAATTCATATTTACTATTTCCTAAATACGTCAAAGGATCGTGTCTTGAGCCTTGATATTTCGCTCAGCCTTAGTTGATAATGTGGCGAAGAAAAACAACAACCCGGGGAACAGAACGAGCATTTTTTCACCTGATTTGTTTCGGCTATTGCGCAAATTCCGGGCCGGCAATCCGCGTGATGCGGCATTCGAACGGTTTTTATAGGTGGTTAATAGTTCCGCTCCCGCAAGCACACTTTGGTTGGACGTGGTCACGTACCCGATTGTGAACTAATTATGGACATACTACAACCAGCTGACTCGTTGTGCGGCCTTGCTTTGTCCTATTTATTTTTTTCGACGAACATGCAATGTTAGATGTTGGGAAAATCGTTTTCTCACGTTTGAGGCTATCTAAATGTGGTGTATAATCCATCGCATCTCCTGCTCCATGGACCGCCGTCATTCTGGTGTACACTTTGCAATCTTGTGTCCAGCAGGCGATTCTCTCCGTATCTACAGTGTTGATGATCTCGTTTTTAATTACATTGGACAAATTTATTTGTTTCTGGCGCACCCTTTTGAGTGACTGATCCTCCAGCTACTAGTGGACGAAATGCGCGTCTCCAGGGCGGATAAAAAAGTAATAATAAAATAAGATGATCGTTAGCTGTAAAANTTCGGTGCCTAGGTGCCATGCCACCCGAAGGAAGCACGAGGGCTGGGATACTGTTAGGTTGCCCAGTAGGACTCGACAGGCGCTGAGCGAGTTCGAACCACGGACCTTCCGGTCAGTAAATTCGCGCTCTAACCGCTGAGCTATCTCGTCCTTCTACAATGAGGAAGGTGCACTCTATTCGTACCCACCTGAAACACGAATGGACAACACTTTTAACGTCTTTGTCGCCTTCTGCTTGTGAAAAGGTGGTTTATAATTTTCATGAGCTTCACTGTTTACACTCAACTGTCTGTGGTAATGGGCAGTGCAAATTGGATTTTTTTCCATTCCACTCTTTTTCTTTTGGATGATCTCCAATCCATGTAATCCCATCTATTTTCAGACGACTCTCAGTAGATACTTCAAAGATTGGATCACTGAAAGATATCCCACTGACATTACTCATCCAACCCAATCTTTGGACACTCGTGCTGATAGTCCATTGGATCCTCAGGTGCCTATAGCTTTGAGAGCTCTCAAAAGGGTGTGCTTGAGTGCAGATGATCCCATGTGTTTAGATCTCACCGACCTCCTGCGCAAGTTGACCTCCGTCCTCTTGGCCCTTGCGGAGGAGCCCGTACACTCAGACGCCACAATGCCGGTCACGACATCGGTCGGCGAACCAGTGGTTCGCAGGTATACCTCAGTTGGGACACAGTCCGGCCTTGGAGATGGTCGGGAGACGCCACAGCTGTTGTCCAAAATCGGAGTGGCACGTGCGACCGAAAAGTACGCCGACGATGAACACGAAGGAGCAGCACGGACGCAAATTAGCAGTGCGAGATCCTCCGGTGCTCCTAGCAATCCCCTCACTCACAGTGCATCCGAGATCAACAAGTCTGGATTCAATCCGCCTGTGGATCATGTGAGCGGCTCTTATCACACCACTTCCTTGTGTCAATTTCAAGCATATTGTTTGCTAGTTCTTTACTGGTCATTTGGGTTTCATTACTAACGAAACACCATGATTTTTTTATTCGGTTCAAGGGTTTTATGTGTCCGGTAGGTTTCCAGTCACGTGTGTCGCTACCAATAATCGGAATTGACTTTTAAACACATTTTTTTAGGATAGGGCTTTGATCTGTGGTTTCAGGGATCCAGCAACAAGTATGTAGTCCATCTAAATCCAGTGCTCCAAAGTACTGCTCCTGGAAAGTTATCCTAAAGAGCCGGATTGTCGTAACGTGAAGATCGATTTTTGATAGCCGATTTCGTCAACCGCACCATTTGTTTTCTACGAAGAACAGCGAATTGAAGTGGATAATAAACAGCTGGGTCCAGCAGAATCGAGGCCACCTCCGCAACGGATAGCAGGGGTCCCTCTTGATCATTTTGCATCCTTAAAGCAGCCTCACGAACCATTAAAAAGTGTCGTTTTAAGTCTTTTGCTGTTGAAACAACGTGTGCATACAATTTTCAAGATGGACGTAACAGCGTCCTTGCAGGGATTTGAACGCGAGTCGGCGAAATCGAAGTTCGCGATGTTAACCACTCGCTATGCAAGGCCACACTAATCCACGAATTTAGCTTTTTCCGTTTCTTCCCTGTTTTCTTGACCAACTAGATTTCGAAAACACTCCCGACAATGGTCCACACCGCGGGGTCTGTGACCCAAAGCGAGATACAACGTTCAACCGTACCTACTTTATCTGTTTTCGGTGGCCAGTCCTATTCCAGTGATGCTCTGCCTAGTCACTCATTTGTGAGTCGTGTTGACCCGAGTACCGCGTCACGTAGCATGCAACCAACGCTGTCTCACACTCGTATTCACCCAAACCATAGGAAACAACGCACCATGTCTGAAACAGCACACTCAACTTCCGGTTTATCGTTCGTGTCGACAGCGGGCACGGTTCTGGGTAGGTCAGATGTGAAAAAATGCCGTAAGGTTTACGGGATCGAACATCGTGACCAGTGGTGTAATCAGTGTCGTTGGAAAAAGGCCTGCCGTCGCTTCCCTGATGCTTCGCCGATTGCAGTGACCTCCTCACCTTCATCCTTCACATCCACGCCACCTTTGGGGCCGACTGTCAGCACACACACACACTTGGTCCCATCCGAGGCCACACACACCACTGAAGGTTCAACAGATACGTCTACTTCACTCCAATCGGTGGAAGACAAAGCTCCCACTGTCATCGAGCCGGTTCCAGTTTCCTGTGAAACCGACGTATCACTAGGGTCGCCATTTCAGCCGTAGCTGTTTTATCGGACAGTTACGCATCCGAGTGATTTGAGTTTCCCATGCGAAACTTATTCCACCTACCGGTGCCGGACCACCCTGATGTTTCCTCGAACACCTCACTCCGTGCATCATTTACTCGCCCCCCCCCGTTTTGCCCATCGTTCCAAGCGCTTTCATTGACAGTGAATTCATGGCATTTTTACCACCAGGTATAACTGTCCACATTACTTTCTCATTTTTTTTATCACGCCATTAAGTCATTCGGATTGTTTTTGTTATTTTGTGCACCATGCAGATTGCTCTTTGTTTTTTGGGCTTATCATGATGATTTCCGACTCATCACGCAATGTCCGAATTCTCTCAAGGTCATCTCCCATTGGACATTCCATTGTTGCCCGAAACCTCATCGTTTTTCTACAGTTTGACATCCTTTCTAACCGTCTATTTTCTACACGCCATCCTTTTCAATTTCTCTATCAATGCCCCTCACCCACCCAACCAACCATTTTTCGGTGCGTCGCGTGCCTGTGCTTGAAATCTCTTGTCATTTATTAATCCCGTGTTTTTGTTGGCTCATCCATATTTAAAATCCCATGAGATCCGAGTGTTTTCCACTTCATACCGATGAGCAATGTGATGTGCCTTTTGTTCGACTGATAATGTTCATGAACCGGGACTTACCTTTCCCACACACGTGTCCAACATGCAGATGATACACGTTACTATACCATAGTCTTTCATTCACCTTTTTCGTCCGTTTCCTACCGGTTTTTGTTTGACTGTTTTGTCTAAGGAGTCCTCGATCGATTTTCAAATACACAAACACACACATCCATGGTATATTTTCCCGCAGATTTCTAACAGACGTTTTAATTTTGTGGTTTCATGTGCACGCTTCCCAGTCATGCTGTTTGACTGCGTGATCAACTCCTTCTATTGGCTATGCATTTCACTCATTCCCGTCTTGCCTCTTTCTTTGACTAGTTCATGGGCCACAATCCATGCTAGTATGCTTTCCTATCCTCTTCGCACCAAGGAGTCTGTCGCTCTCAATGTTACTGGATCCCACGCAACTTCTACCGTCATCCAACCTCCCGGTTTCTCCGCCAGATCGTCATCCTTATCATGTCATTTTCTACGCAACTTGTTTTTTCTTTGACCGCCAAGCGCGGTTTGCAATCCTGCTCATCCCGTATCATCTTGGTTGATTTTTTGAGGGTGATTTTTTACAGGCTTTTCTATGTCCTCGCCAGACTTATCTCCTGAGCAACTGTGATAGCTCAACAAGTCTTCCCTCCTTTGTGTTTTTTTTTCTCTACTGCATTCATGCAAACTCCCAGATCGTTTGAATTGACAGCACTACATACACGCGCGCGCGCCAGTTCATCTTGTAGTGTTTTTAGAGCAAAAGATTTCATACAGAGTGTCGAACGCATTGGTTTTCTCGATGAACTTGTTGGTTTCTGGCGCACTGTTCCGACACGTCTTTTTTGGAGACCGTAATATTGTCAAATCCTGTTTTGACACAAGTTTGGTCGGTTTCGGGATTGAGTCATACGAAGCTTTTGGTAATTAATCAGGTGGCTGTTGATCTACCAGTATTTATACACATTACCATCACCTTTTGTGGGACTTACCCGATGTGTGTAGGTGGCATCAGTCTAATCCGTGTTCCTCTCCAGGTTCACCTAACGAGTTCCAACTGGATGAGGCTTTTTCAGGAAAATCTTCACTAGAACACGTGTGTATGTTAACGTATTGTGGGTTAACATAGCTGGGATGCAGTCATTAACGCACTACCCGCATTTGCGGGACGCTAGCGCTCATATTGTACCAATTGTGAATCCCCAACGGGTGACTTGGGGAAAGCTTGCTTTGGTTTATAGCGGTGGTTGCAGTCGAAGTGGTTCTTTTTGGACAGCTCCTGGCATGTGTGCGCGCGGAACGTGCACTACCATACTGGAAAATTAATCGATTAGCGGTTGACATCATCATCAACATTGTTTCACGTGGTCATTCATAAGCTGCTCGATGGTTCTCATTGACCTACTGATCACACTCCTTTTGGTTTACGTCCGAGTTACGACAACATATCCGGATCCGAGCAAATTGTTCGTGCTGTCTCACGTACGTGCGGGTATCCTGTGGTTCAGCCACCGGTGACATGCAAGCCCGTGTCGAACGCCAGCCAACCAACGAAGCTTGACTTCAACATTCACTTATCTAGATGACTGATAATACAGCTTCCTCGGAAACAAACACTGAATGATCCTATTTACTGGCAGTTACCGGACGCAGAATGAATGCATCTGATGATGGAGATGACTGAATTGAGTAGCCGAAAGTGTCGAGGCGTGCACCAACCAAACATGTAGGGTAACCGGATATCATAGTGAAAGTGCTCGCGACTGTATGATCTGTCAAATGAGACTGCCTGAGGGTAGCCTTTATCGTGGAACATTAAAGTGTCGATGTGGCTATCGAAAGACGGGTCGACGTACCCTCAGATATGACATCTAGTAAGCCCTTACCGAGGCATAACGGAGTAGAAATTCATGGGCTTTAAGTTCACTTTTACTACCATCAGCTTCACGTTCGGCCTGCTGTAAACTTTGTTCCTCACACAACAGTGGAGCGGCTTATTGGTGGGATCTATGAAACAGCAGGATGGATTGTGTCTTTGCATGCGCTTTGAGAAATTGGAAAGTTCGTTTATTAAAACAACCAATCAGCTACTGATTTATTTGGTCATCAAACAATGTTTCCTCCAACAACAGGTTGGAAGCCAACAGCTTAGGATCAGTTTGATTTCCGGCCGAGTGGGACTTACGAACCACGCTTAGTTTTCCAGCTAGCCTTCCACAGCATCTAACCATCTTATATAGAACTGTAACGCGGGGCGAGGTGGACCAAGTGGTTAGAGCGCGAATTTACTGACCGGAAGGTCCGTGGTTCGAACCCGACCTCTGTCACTCGACTTCCCCTGTCTAGGCCTGGGCAACTTGGCAGTATTCCAGCCCTCGTGCCTCCTTCGTGTGGCATGGCAGCTAGGCACCGAAAGGGTGCTACAGCTGGGCGATTATTATTATTAACGCGGAATATAATTTGATCAAGCAGGGGGATCCGTTATTAGTGACATTACTCATTTGAAGGAGCGAGGACTCTGCCACAGCAACTGAAGTCCGTTTCATGACCATTCAGTGCTTACAGAACAGGTGTGGTCTGTCTTCCGACTAATTCGAAAAATACTGGAACCGACCGGTAATTAAGTCGTCGGCAAACAATCAGTGGATAAATCGATAGTTTTTTCTGCGCAACCCAACCACGAAACTTCTAATCGGTTGGAGATACTTATAACCGGTCAGAAACTCGCCTAGCTAACCACATTTTTCTTGGATTACTTAAGAAGTGTAGTAACTGGAGAGGCACAAATGTGAGTGTGGGTTTCTATCGTGTACCCTCAGCTGGCTACATTCGGCCTGGTCGTTCTGTTGATGAGGACCTGTTAAAACAATCTATGTATCTGACGTTACATCCGGTGGGCAGACCATTTATTTCTTTGTCTAGTTTGGTTAGCCCTGTATTTCAAGGCGACTGGTGTAACCACGAGTTGGTAATATTTGTCACAGTAACATCTAGTCTACCCGCTTCGAACCCATCGGTGACCTGAGAATCCTGCTTTAACCGCTGCAATCCGAAGAGCGTATGAGCCCCGGAAAAACTCACCAGTTTCCAGAGGGTTCTGAGCTATGAGCTTCGCCCTGCTTTTCACTAGCTCGGATCTTTGAAGTGCTCCATGGCTGTCCGCTAAAAATATGTCCGTCGGTACCACAGAATCTACTTTAGAGCGAAAGTTCCAATTTTTTACTCACGCGCGTCTACCGTCCCAAAAGGCATGCCGTTATTAAACTAAATTAATCTAATCACTTGATTCTATCCAATTACACTTCTGTTCAAATGAACGGGGGATATTATCGTGATGAAACGCCTGTTGAAGCAAATGGTCATAACAACTCCATCCCACGAATTCTAGCGGACAGCGAGTGTGTTTTGCCGCTGAGCACTAGAACTGTCTTTCTCCTCCGCTACACTGTTCTCAAATTTGTCTAGAGCCTCCACTTCCGAATTCTACTGTCTGGGTTACTATAACCACATTGTTGTACGCGGTCCAGTCACTGGTCGGCGAGTATATTGTGTGCGGAGCGGCACGAGACGGGCGAGTCCAACACTGAACGGCATTCCTTTCTGGCCGTCATTTTCTACTGTGACCCATATCGCTAATTTTGACATTTTCGGTGCTACGGCAGTTAGGTTATGCTAACCGCACGATTTATCACACCACCGGTTCATCCACGGAAAAAATCTTAGTGCCAAGTTCAGAGTAATGCCACATCAACAGGTTGCACGACAATATAAAATCGATACCAACACAACTCTTTGATAAAAAAAACCTCCCCTGAACAGGCCGTTTCCCCTTTCCTCCAGGTGAATTTCAATCGCGAATTTGTTTTATTGCAGCAGTGAATTGCGTAAGGGTTTTTCTTTTCACTTAGTTATCTAAAGTTAAGCAAGAATGGCTTTCAGCATTGGACAAATCCTCTGGTCCATATGGTACTGATTCTGTTCTGATCCATCTAATTTCCATAAGTACATCTGACTTTGCTTCATGGTGGATTGCATTGAGCCTTTTAGCATCACTTCAGTACTTAACTTTGTTCCGTCGTTCCAAATTACTCTCAGCTCGAACGATTTCATCATGTAGAATGTCTCACGATTAACCAAAGAAATCCAGCAAATCAGGCGTGATTACACGCCAATACCAGCTTTTACGAACAGAAGCTGCACCTTGACATGGCGGTCGGACTTGAGTGTTGCAATGATTCTGTGAGCCATACTGGCTGGAACTCCATTCCACAATGTGCAACCATGCCAAGAAGGCGAAGTGGGAGCACCAAGACGAATGGCCACTAGCTTCCGTAATACGAGGCAGTCAGTAGATGAAGTCATGCCGACCAGCGTTTCCACATTTACGGAAGCGACGATGATTCGACACGGCCGGTGTACATGTGGAATTTTTGAAAAGCCCAATTAGGGGTCAGAATGCACCTGCTACAGACATTAGCATCAGGAGTGAGACATCGGTGCCCAATTCTCTCGGGCTAGGCCAGTCCCGTGCAGTCAGGCTACTCAGTCATCGGCTTCTAGCCGGATTCCCCAAGAATATTATACTACCTACTGCTTTGTGGGTCCGAATTTTTAGTCAAGAGTTCAAGGCCAAATATCCCAAACAAAACTTCCTCGGCATGATAACCTGGAGCTACAATTCGCCCGTACAGCTCCTCATCCACCTATACCCTCTCACCAGTCTTCATAGGGTCCGCTGTGCTCAATCCAAATGCTAGTCTCCTAATCACTGTTCAGTGTGTGAACTTTAGTCCAGTATACTTAAACCAAAATACTCCCTTATTGAACTCAGAAGAACTTATCCACATTGCAAACTTCAGTGCCCGTACTGTCTGTCAAATTTGGCAACAGGAATCTTTTGTTGAAACTTTGCACTCCCCTCCTGTCGCTCTGTGTTGTTTGTCTCCGAAACACGCACAGAAGACCCTACGTCACCTCGAGCTGCCCAGGATAAACTCATGTGTCACATTTTACTCTTTCAGTACCTGGCTACCATCAGGATGCAATGGTTGCGGCATCTTCGGCATGGGAGTTGCACTCAGCCACAGGTACAAAACACTTGACCGGATCCCAATAAACATTTGTCTCCACAAAGTACGATGATCGTGTTCATGTGATACCAGGTCGATGCGGCAAACGTTGTATACTTGTCGCTTAAGCATGCAGCCCGACAGATTACACCTCCGAAGCTGAGGAATATGTTTTTAATTGGATCTGTCAGGGATTCTTCAGCTTTCAGGAACATATTTATAATAATCCTATCGGGTGATATGAACGCTCAAGTTGGGCGACCAAACCCTGAAAACTCACGGTTGGGTAGGAGATACGTATTCGATGCTCAGCTTACGGATTATGGAGAGCGACCGTTTCAGCGAGTCGTTTGCTGAACATCGTCTGTTCCTGGCTGGTGGGGACTTTCGTCACCAGCCCACATCGGATTCGCTGGAGACCACTAACGGGAAACCAGCCATGAACTCAGTTAGGAATTGGGGTAGTCCTTCCCTCTGGAAATACGCAACCTGACTCCGATAGCGCCATTGTGTAGGCTCTGTTACCAGTTCTGTTTCCCGAAACAGAGCAAACTAGTCCATCAACTTCAGTGAGTTTCAGCTACTCAACTATAACAAGTCGACAGGGCTAGTATGCTAATGCAAGCACGCAACCACACCGATGACGAAGCTCAATTGAAAGATGAGTGAGAATGGAAGAAGTTAGGCTCTCAGCTTTTAGGACTGTTTGTACAAGCCA